ACACGCGAATCCACTTAAGTCCATTTCTCTCCAAACCCCATTTGCTTCATAGTGTGGAAGTGAAATTTTTTTTAGTTAAACTAAAATTTTAAAGTAAAATATATATATTTTTTTTAAAAATTAAAATTTTATAAAAAAATAAACTTTTCCTAGAAAATTAAATTTAAATAAATATAAACTTTTATAATTTCTCAAATTTTAAATATTATTATTTCTTTTAAACTGAACATTTATTTTTAAACAATCTTAAATAGAAATATAGACACTTATAAACTTTTCTAAAAATTTGAGATATCAGTGTTTAATTGGGAAGAAGGAAAGTATTAAATTTTCTTATAAAAATTATTATATTTCTAAAAAATTAATATTCTAAAATAAAATTAAATTCATTTTTATAAATTTAATTTCTTATTTAAAAAATCGGATGTTTAAAATTTTAAGAAATTTTGTTCAGTTTTTTTTTTTTTTTTTTGAAAGGCAAAAGGAAGGACAAGGAAGAGAGTTTCGGCATGGCCATCACCCTCACCAAACCAACCAAAATATTAAAAGAAAAAGTTCCAGCAAGGAGCTAGATACAAGGAGAAACAAACAACCAACATACAAGCAAGAACAAAAACAAAACCAACTGCCCCAGACAGAAAGACAGAGGCAAAACCCAACAAAGAAAGACAAAAGAGACTAGGCAAGATAAGGAAAGGTAGACCAACTATCCCAATGAAGTTAGAACTTACGATTCCTATTGCCCATCCATAATTTAGATAAATTTTGAACACAAGGGAATAGGTCTTCGCCTTTCTTCCTGATTATTGAACCATCCTCAGCATGAAAATTTTCATTTCGCCACCTCCAAAGCTGCCAAAGTGCCACAGCGCAAACTGATAAGAAAATCACCCCAACCTTATGATGAGCTCCTGCTTGTTGGACGAGCATTTTAAAATCAGACACCGAGGATAGATGCAGAGCTTTTAGATCCCACCAGGCCCAAATTTTCCTCCAAAGAATACTCGCTACCGAACAAGTAAAGAAACAATGGTCCATCGTTTCTACAACTTTACCACACAAAATGCATTCCAAAGATTGTAACGAGATCCCTCTCTTAGAGAGATTGAATCTTCAAAGGATGGCCTCTTTAAGGAAGCGCCATATGAAAATGTTCACTTTCTTCGGGATTAACGGACTCCAAAAGCAAAGATCATTATTTTCAACATTAGTATCAACCGCCCCTTGAAATAATTTGGATATATGATTGACCAAAAAAGTCCCTTTCATGTCCCAATTCCAAGACCACACATCCTTACCTGAAGTATTGAAAGCCGTTTGAGAGAGCTGCCTTTCTAAGGCTTGAAGATCATCTAAGCTTCTTCCCCTAATTGTCGATTTCCAGTCCCAGGCTCCACACCAAGATTCATTAATATAGGTCCATCTTTCTTTAAATAAAGCATTTTTATCCCTCTCCATGGCATAAAGTCTAGGACATAGATCTTTCAGCTTTATGCCTTGACCAATGTTCGCATCTTTCCAAAAAAGAGAATTAGAATCTTTAGCAACCTTTTTAGAAAACGAAGAAATAACATTCTGACCTGCAACTTGTTGGACCGGTAACTGCACTAGGGAGCCGCCCCGTGATATTGTCCGCTCTGGGCTGCCCCGGGGTTTCCCCGCACGGCAACAACCCCTCACGGTTTTGCTTTCTAAAACGCGTCACTGGTAGGAG